AACGACCAAGACGGCTTGATTTCAGGAATATTACGTGTTTTAGAAAAGGTAAGTTTCTAGTAAGTGACTTTTTATAATAATAGTTTATGGTAGTGATTCATCTTTGGGGAATTATCAGAAAGTTTGAATTTCATATGTAAGATAAAATTATGTAATTGGATAGTGGCTGTAAATTTAACATGGAAATGATGTTAGAAATAAAACACGTGTTCCTCAACTTATCATGGGATCTCATCCTGATAAACCTATTGTAGATTGAAAATATTGAAAGTCAAAAATGCATTTAACACATCTAACCTACATAACATAGCTTCGCCTCGCCTACCTTAAACGTACTCAGAGCACTTAGCCTATAGATGGGTAAAATCATCTAACACAAAGTCTGTTTTATAATAAAGTGTTCACTGTTTCATGTAATTTATTGAATACTTCACTGAAAGTGAAAGATAGATGTTTATATGGGTTCTCAAAGTCCGTTTTCTACTGAATGTGTATTGTTTTCGCACTGTCCTATTACAAAAAATTGTAAGTTGAACCATCATGAGTTGGGAATCATCTGTACTTTAGATAAACCAGTAAAGTGACATGGACTATTTTAAAACGTATGTAAGAGTTGTAGTAATAAAATTTTTCATAATGAAAACTAGGCAGAATTTAAAAATCCACACAGCATTTGTTGTCAAATAGTGGTTTATGTATGATATTGGCATATTTAAAATGCTAGTATTTAAGGGGCTAAAATTTTATTTTGGGCTCAGGGAATAAAAATAAGTAGTTAGAGAAAGTACGTATTGCTCTATATTGAATATAGTCATGTTTCGTTTCTCTAGGATGCTGAAGTAATTGTGGACTGGAGACCATTGGATGATGCACTGGATTCTTCTAGTATTTTCTATGCTGGAAAGGTATTTAAGAAAAAAAATGTGTGACTAAGGGAGTACCATTTTTTAAAATAACAATTTTATTGAAATATATTTACATACCATAACGTTCATATAATTCAGTGGTTTTTAGTATATTTACAGAGTTGTTCAACCATCACTGGTATCAAATTTTAGAACATTTTCATCACTCCCCAAAAGAAATAAATTCTACCTATTAACGATTGCCTCTCATTTCCACCTACTCCCAATCACTGGAAGCCACTAATCTACTTTCTGTCTCTAAAGATTTGCCTATTCTGGACATTTCATATAAAGGGAATCATGTAATATGTAGTCTTTTGTGACAGGCTTCTTTTGCTTTGCATAATGTTTTCAATTTATCTGTGTTATAGCACTTATTTTTTGTTTTTGCTGAACAATATTGCATTTATGGATATACCACAATTTTATCATCAATTGATGGACATTTTGGTTGTTTTTACTCTGGGGCTAATATAAATAAGGCTGCTGTGAACTTTTATGTGCAAGTGTTTGTGCAGACATGTTTTTATTTCTCTTGAGTATACAAACGTAGGAGTGGAAATACTGGATCCTTTAAC